AATGCTGGCCGGGGAGAGAAGACGCGATAAGTGGAAAAAACAGGAAGGGGGTGCGGAGGGAACGAGGAGAGGAATATGGGGAGCTATTTGAAGCAGGCTGCACTGAAGTGAAGCGAGTCAAGTCGTGGTGAATCTAGATGAAACAATTTAGAAAACACAATAATTACATTAAATGGAGTGGACAGTTGTACCATCACTATGAATTGAAACAAATCGAATGAGTTGGATCGAACTGGATTTGTTGGGAGTATTAATATTCATATTATTCTGATATTGAAAATATTTTGTCAAAATAAAAATTGAAAAATTTACGCTATCCCCAGACCAATGAGTGGGCACTAGTAAATAGGGTAAGGAGTGGTTTCACGTAAGGAGTGGAGATAAAAATTAGTGTTTTTAGTGGTCGTGACTGGATGTCATGGTGACGAATACAATTGGATTTCAAATGGGGGCGGTGACAGTCGTAATGTAATCGATGATAATGTAAGTGTTTAAGGCACAGACGCTGAAACACGTCTTGTTAAAGTTGGGGTAACGGATTGCTCGACTGCGGTACTTGAAGAAGGGACGTCATGGTCCTTTCAAATAAAGGAACTTTCATATTAAAGTTATGGTCGGATTACATTAGCTGACGCAGCTGTGGTGACACCAATAAAAGCAAGATGCGTTTATGGTGTTTTACTCCCAGGTAATGTTGAAATAAACATTATTTGGCTATTTAATGAAGCTAAAAAATGATGAAAGATAGTTGCAATGTTGGAAATAATATTTTTGAATTTACTACAGAAATGATATTATTGTAAAATTGCGATTGTGTTACGAGTGTGCAAACGTGGTGGTCGGAGTGTAGATGGCAGTGGTTGTGGTAGTGATAGCGATGGAGGTGATGGTATAGGTATAGGTGTGGTTAAAGTTGTGGTGATCAAGTGTGAACGTGGTTGAGTTGGTGACGTGGAATGATATGGTGGAGTTAAGAGGTTGTGATGGTAGAGATGGCATGTGGTAATTGTGATGATGGTGGTAGGGGTGGGGGTAGTAGTAGTGGTGGTGGTTGCGGTTGCGCTGAAGATTATAGTGATAGTTGATGGGTGAACTGGCGGTGTGTACTGTACTGAGGCGACAGTGGCACCAGCGATAGCTCTTCTCTCGCGAACAGGGCTGTGCTCCAATTGCTTTTATATTCTGTCAGCGCCGCAATGTAACGACAGCAGGGGCTGTGTCTGTGGTAACGCTGGTGGCAAATGGGAGAGGGGAGGAGAAGATGGCAAATGTGGGAGTAGTTTCAACGTTTTAAATCTCTTTCAATTTATGTTAACCGACCAACATATTCATTCACATTCGACTCATTGTTTCAAGGAAAAAGATAATATCCACGATGCTCAAATGTAATGTCTCCTGCAAGCTTTGATTAATCAAATAACACAGAATCATATTTATGTGAACGTAATGAATTCAATAGTTTTTAATATTATTATTATTAATAATAATGATAATAATATTAATTATTATTATTATCATAAATGGAATTTTAAAAAAATTTGATTAAAAATTCAAGACTTTTTAAACTATTTCGCAAAAGTGTCTTCTTTTGATATTGTATAAGTGTATATACTAATTTAACACCCTCACTTACCTTCAATTTAATAAAATTTAGAGGTATATAGTAATGAAAATATTTCAGGTTATTTCAAAAACATTACAAAGAGCCGTCATAAAAGAGCCTGGATGTTTAAAGCAACACAGGCTGATATTACGTTGGCAGTTAGCTTTATGGATGTGGACTTATAAACGATGTTATTCGTTTGTAAAGCGTTTTACGTTTGAGTTCGTTTCAGTTTTTTTTATTTCCAATCACAATAGATACATTCCCTAACGATATAAATTGGAGCGCAAAATTCTGTCAGCTATTTAATTAATTTTTGTTTTATATATAAAACTAAATTGGAATAATGAAATGACATTAGTAATAAAATCATCACTAACTTTCTCTTTTCTAAAGATGTAGTGAACAATATTTGTAAACGCTCTAGCAGAATAAGGGGGTGGTAAAAGAGCCTCCAAGCTTAATTCAATTTTGAATAGAGGACATGTTTAGTGATATTTTGAAAATCATTTCCCCATATCTCAGAACGACAGCCTAATTATTTCGCAAGATATCAGAAAATAGCTGTTTGTTTTTGTTTTTGGTTTTTAATTTTTTTCGTATCACTACTCGGAGATAAAATTGTTTTATTACTGAGGTGATGCCTCCAAAAAAGTTCTACGAATAGGTATTATGGCGTTCTTTACCACTTTTTTTCAGATTTTTCTTATTGGTGCTTCATAATGAAAAGAAATTAATAACTCTTTTCTTCGTGATTTATACGTATATAATAAGTTAAACTTTTCTACAGAAAAATAAGTTTGAGAATTAAAATAATGTCATTTCACCATACAAAAATACTGAGGATTATTTTCGGGGCCAGTTACAAAATTTCAAAAATTAAAAAATTAAAACAATCATTTTATGATGTTTTTATGACCCGTTTCGATGAAAAAAATGTTATTACAATTTAACGCATCCATATAGCATTGTAACAGGAACACGCTTATCTTGATGGCCCGACGTCTCCAACGTCGAGTACTCTATAGGATATAGATACTACTTCCAGATGGTGCCGTTGTATAGCGTTTTCTGCACGTTTCCTGAGTCCAGGAATCCGTACCTTAGCTCTTATAATATATCATCAAGAAATTATTAAATGATCTATAATTTTATATAAACCTATTTTTCATCCTATGGATGGTTTCTTAAGAGCAATTTTCTCCCACCCCAAAAAATCAGTTTAGAAAAATGGAAAATTTCAATACGATTTCCACATGGTATATGTGATGCGGAGCGTATATTTCTCTCCAAGGTAAACTCGGACTGCTCATAATTCTTTCGTTCTTTCACAAACCATTAATTCTTATCGCGCCCACTAAACCACATGCAACTCTGTCCGGAGACTTGGGGAAACTTGGGGAAGAACGAAGCATTGGAGCAGAACAGAATTCCTCTATTTGCGAAAGAATTATGAGCCAAACCTGCCATTGACAGAAAATCGTAACTTACGCACTCAGACGAGCGAAGGATACCCGTTTGTTTCGACAAGTTCGAATCAAAATACATTAGAGAGAACAATAAGAGAATGAAAAGTACATTTGACGAGCCAATGGTTAAAATAAAATCTTTCATTTGATTATAACCGCCGTGAATTTGTTTATTCATAAATTATTCTTTTTTGCACCGAGCACAATTTTATACAGCATGTATCATTAAAAAATATCGCTAGATATACTACACAAAATGTGGCGAAAATGGATTTGAAAATATACTAGAAAATTTGGGAATGAATAATAATAAAACAAATATTCTTATTGTTTCAAATGAATCTATAAAATAACGTCTGCCTTTGCGTATGAGAGTTGGAACGCGATAGCAAACAATTATACCTGAAAGAAAGACAAACGGTAGAATTGGAGTTTTAAGTCATAAAATAGCTTCCACTACTTCGAAGCAGATCATAACACAGTACATCAGATTCACATAGAATATTCATGTACTTATGAAGTAAGAAGATTTGGGAAAGTATTCCTAGTCGAAAGCATGAAAAATTGGTCTGGGAGTCGAATGGGAATAAAATATCCATACAGGGCCAACAATACTTCATTATAACTACCACAACTAGCGGACAAAATGAAGAACTAAGAATTACGAGAAAAATCGTAAGGACAACTTTGCGGAGTTCATTTTCCCCCAAAATCACAGACGACCTGTTGAAGCACCAAATAATTTAACTTTCTCCTTCAGAACCATTATTTAGATCTCAGACCAGCCTCCTTTCAGTCTTTCGTCACTTCTTACGACACTTAGGAAGTAACCTTGAATACACGGAGTTTGTTTGTCAACTGGTACGTCCTGGCGCTTTCTTAAATAATTTGTTTCGGATGTCTTTCAAGCAGCGAACTGGATCAATTTTTTAAAAAGGTTCGTATCTTTTAGAAGGCGATGGCAGCGAGTCTCTCCTTCTTGCGATCAAGTGACTTAATCAAATCCTAAAGGGCTTCGTTCGAAGGGCTGGAAGCGCAAGCGCTCCCGGCTGCTTGAGTGGGGTAGGCTGCCGAGAGAAGGGGTTTGGAGGGGTGCACGCGAGAATGAGTGAGAGGACGGGCCGTAGAAGAGAGGATGGAAGATATAGAGAGGTATGGTGACGGGGTAGGGGAGGACAAGAGAGCGTGAGAGGAGGGGGCGAAAGACAAGGGACTGAAGAGAAGGGACAGAAGAAAAGAGGGTGTCGTGGGAGAGGAGAGAATAGGGCGGGGGAAGGAGAGGTGAGACGGGAAAGTAACGGAGGGTGGAAAAGAGGAAAACGGGAGAGGAGGGGCGAGGCGGAAGGGCTGGGCCGGGCGCCGAGTGCCCTGGGCGCTGGCCTCGACGTGACCGAGGTCAGAGCCTCTGAAAGCGGGGGCGTGTGCCCGAAGGAGCAGTGGTCGATATTGGACTTCTATGCGGACATGTGGTAAGCACTGCAGCAACTGACAATTCTTACACTTCACACTGTTGTTGGGAGAAATGTGCAAAATTCGTAAATAATACTTTTATACGAAGAAAAAATACAAAATAACTTCGTGCACAAAACGCCATTATAACGATTGTATAATAACATTATTATAGATATGCATTACAAACATTAACATTTCATTTACGAATACGAATATTAAACTATTATAAACTATATTGTAAGCATAATTATTGAAGAATTCTATGAGTCATGATTTATCTGTAGTTTAGTAGAGGAACAAACCTTTCCCTGGAGGTGCTTAAATAAATGCATTGAAATTTTTTTTTAGATTTTAAGAAGTATACATTAATATTTGATTCACAAACATTTACAAAACATTTGGTTTGAAGGGGCTAGTTACCTTCAACCTGTCGCACAACGTTCCTCACTACACACGTAAATCGGAATAAATGTTACTAACTTCCTTGGGGATGTGGGAGTGGGAGGGCCAAAGATGTATGTTCCGATGCAGTCAAAATTCTTGTCTCTACAAAACACCAATGTTGCCAACAAGTTACCAACAAATTAGAGGCAAATGTCAAACATTCGTTATATAAGATTTCCCACATTTGTAATATAAGATTTTCCACATGTTCATCGGCAAAACGTAAACTTCGACCTCTACACTCCCTAGAAGTTTATAACATTTAATCTGAGACGTAGAGAGAATCAAAATCCCATCGCCAATGAAGTACAAGTACTCATCGGTGTCCCCATTATAACTAATTTTCGGCCAGTGTGTGGGCGGCGCCACGGCGCGGGGATGGGCAATTTCTGGGGCATCGGGGGTGGGAGAGGGCGCGGGCGGGGCGGCGAGGGCCCCCCGCAGGGCCACTTCCCACAATCGAGGGTAGCCGCACCCGAAGCCGCCTCACAAAGCCGACGGCCGTACGCGGGGAGATTGCAAGGTAGGGGGCGAGGGGTGTAAGACGGACGCGGCGGAGGACAGGCGCAAGGAGCGCGCGGAGAGCGACAGTGCAGACCCTGGCGTCGCTGAGGGCGCGTCTGAGGACGAGGCGAACGAGCGGAGGCAGTGCGTGGAGCGGCGATAGAAGCCCGTGAGACGATTAACACCAGGTCTGCTCGGGGAAGTGAAGCCGGCGGTCTTTGAATAACCGACACAAAATTATGATGACCTCTCGCGTTAAGATAAAAGAAGTAGCTTTCGGAGGAAGTACTTTACTCACCTACTTCACGCGTGTAGCATATCGAACGGAGAATGGCAGGAGACGAAGTAACGTGGTAATAAATATTAGCAAATGTAGTGAGGCGATCAATGGCAAGTCTACTCTGAGATAATTTTGAAGCTTAACATTGAACTATTTTCACATAACCCATGAGGGCAAGTATCTAGTAGGTAGCTACCCCAGAGCCGGTCCCAACCGGTGAGCAACAACAACGTAACCAGTGGTTCCTTCTATAACCCAGCAGATTAAGAGGAAATTAGGAACAAGTCTCGATATTACAACTAAAACAATAATGTACATAAGAGAATGAAAACGAAGTGCACTTGAAACGAGTCTTGATATGAAATGTAAAAAGCAATGAAGCTCAAAACAAATAAATGAAACTAAGAAACCATCTTGTGACGAGATTACAGAAGTAGAACGCATATTTGGATGCAAACAAACAAATGAAAGCGGAATGAGGTGGACTCCTGTGGACTATATAAAGTAGAATTAGAATGGAAAATGATTGGAACGAATAACGAAAAAAGGGTTTCAATAACTCTGCATATAGCTGCAAAGTGAAGTGGAGAGAGAAGACAGCTGAATTGATTTTGACATGTACTATAACATGGGAGCTACGACGCCTAATTGAGCAGAAATGAGGTATAGGTGCCACCTTCTTAAGCAAACTATTCGGTGTATGTGTATGACGTGTTGCCGACTCTGATGTTACCACTTACCAAGTATTTTCCTCGCTTTCCAGCAATCAACGTGTTCTTGGAGAGCATATTTTTTGGTATTTCCAACAGCGAAATACATACTCAGCAATAGGCATGAATAGTATGAAGGATTCACAAACATATAAGTGGTGCCGAAAACGTTTAAAATCTTACACCCATTAGCTGATCTCGACAACTCTCGTTTCTTTGGATAAAATCATGAAATTTGTCTTCGTCTTAAAACACCAAAGGTATTTAAATCGGAAAACCTGAAATGCACCACACCCAGTTCATCGACAGACGAGTTCATCGACACATGAGTTCACATGAGTTCATCGACAGACGCCCTGCGGAACGCGTTTAAAGAAAAGAATAGGATAGGCGTCCCCGAGTATATCCCAGGGGCTGAGCTCCGAGGTAGAGAGGCGAAGTGTCAGCGTCAGGCGGCAGCTCGCCCGTCGGCGTCCCGCTGCCAGCGCCGCGCCGCCAAAAGCGAGCGCGCAATGCTGGCGAACGCCGCCGCGAATCAACCCCAGTCCCGACCCCCCTCCCCCTCCCCCCAGCGACGGCGGTGAAGGACAAGACCGACCGCGACGCGGAGTCTATGGGGGTCGAGAGGGCTCGTGG